AGCTATGCTACAAAATAAAGTTTATAGGGGCTCATTATCTTTTAATTTTTTTCGTATTTACTTGATCAACAAATCATATATATATCAAGAAATTAAGTTACAAATCATTGATAAATTGAATAATATTGTAAATCATTAATTTAACAATATATGTAGTACATATAATCAGAAGTTTTAACAATTACATTAACTAAACTGTACATCTCTTCTTTTTTAGGATCCTAAATTAAGTCCTACCCATCCCCAACAAAATTTACTAAGAATCCCTTAGCAAAAATCATTATTGAACTTCATCCATTATAACACCAATTGAATCTTCTCCAAAACTAAACAAAATAACAAATTAGGAAAGTTTTGTATTGTAACTATTATAATAATGTTAAGTCATAATTAATATAAAGCTAACCCCCTTTTAGAAGTATGCACTCCTTTAATATTGGTTAAGCCTCTACCATCAAAACCTTATTTTATCACTAAGATGGTTCTTGAAGATACAACAACAATATTACATCCAAGGATTTCAATTATTGGATGTGCGATAGAGAAGTTGCAAGTCATAGACAAAAAATCAAGCATGAAGTCAAACAAAAGCATGAAGACAAACAAAAAGATTCATATTATTGACATGAAAATGATTGATATCATGTATATGCACATAATGAAGGGATAGACAACTAAACCAACTTTTTATGATTGATCACCTTCTTAACAAGTCAATGAGAGCAAGAGGAATCCAATTGCAATTACAAATCAAGCATATTAATGTTTTTTTTTAAATATAGCTTCAAATGCTTTAATTAAATTTTTAGTCAATTGAATTTTCAAATTATCCAATTTATTTTGAGATGAATATAATATAATATAATATAATAAATATTATATTTATTTAAAAATAAATTTAATAAATTTAGATATATTTCTATTAAAATTAATCAAATTATTTCCTTCTAATTTTTTTCTTATTTTCTTAGTCTAGAAGCTAAGAAACCGGCTTAGCAAGTTAGCATGTAATCCCAAATCCAAAATCAGATGGGTGGCTAACGATATCCCATACGCCACTGTAGCGATCATCGTCCCGCGTGGTTCCTCGATACTTCAAGCTGAGCTCGTCCCGCTTATGGTGGGCTTACCTTCTCCCTGTCCGCTCTCAGTTCTTAATGGCTCTGGCGGCCCTATGCTCCCCTTGCTTAACAAGCATCGGGAACGCAAGATCTCCTACCAATTCCTTTCGGAGTTATCCACCCTCTTCTCTCTTTGTTCCTCTCCGCCATCGCCGACTCGCAGTCCACTCTAAAAAAACCCAAAGCCTCAAGGCTTCATCTTCTTCCTCCATCTCCAGTGCGAGTCCTGGAACCAAGGATGACGGCTTTAAGCTTACCTATCTAGAGGTTCGCTTCTCAGTTTTCTTTAAATTTTGTCAGACGAGCTGAACGTATTCCTTTTTACCAGGGAAACAGCTGGTTATGGAGCGTGGATGGGGTGAACGTTTTGGTGGATCCCATCTTGGTTGGTAATCTGGATTTTGGCGTGCCTTGGCTGTATGATGCCGCGAAGAAGGTTTTAACAAACTTCCGGGTATTTTATTCCCCTATTTTCTTGTTCTTCGTTTCATTTTGATGTATGGACTGTACTGTAATAATATGAAACGGCCTTAATTGTGTATTAATCCCTTGAAGGTAGCTCGAGAATCTCCCTGAGGTAGATTGTTTGCTGATTACACAGAGCCTTGATGACCACTGCCATGTTAAGACACTCAGACCCCTTTCAAAGCAACTTCCTAACCTGCCAGTATTCTCCACTCCGAATGCAGAATCCATTTTAAGATCACTCTTTAGAAATGTAAGTTTGATGATCATTTGGTCCTTTCCCTTCTTTGTTCCTTTGTTGTTTCAATCAATTTGCTGGATTTCATATATCATCATTCAACAACAGCCACCACCTTTCTCGTGCCTATATATTCTCCCCTTTTAACATGTATCATGGAAATTTAATGATAACTATGACTATAATATACAAATGACAAAACTATATTTGATCACAAAAAAAAAAAAGATAAAAAATCTTTTTATGACAGTTGTGTGTTGAATTTGATAAATTATTTTTCTTGATTTTCATCAAGGTTTAAAAAGCTTTGTTTCAGTACCAACTTTGATTTCTAATGAATTCGGCCTTGCTGTGTTGGTAATGGTACGATTTTCCTTGTGGTTTCATTATGTTTTGAAATTTAAGTGATTTTGAAAATATGTTTCCATTATTTCAATATTAGATAGGACCAAAGATTTTATATCAAAGCCAATGAGTTTTAATTTAGCTCTATAGTTTTGTGAAGTTGTTTATTTAATTATCAGGTCTTCACACACTCTAACATAATGGATAATCAGTTTGTTGTATTTCACTCGTCTAGCCTCACTAGAGCCTTGAGAGAATTTGTTGAGAAATTAGGGCGAAAAAAAAAACAAAAACGACACAAATCCAGAAGAACACAAAGAGATTTAACGGAGATTTAACGAGGTTCGGCAAAGATGCCTACGTCCTCGGGAGCAGAGCGGCGACCTCCTTTTCAATATTCAGAAAAGATTACAGAATAAAATATTCAGCTCTCTCAAAGACCTAGGATTACAAACAAGTCTATTTATAATCCTAGAGTAAGCCCTGCAGTACAATATGTAATTCCCAAATTATCTCTGTACCGTATAGCCCCAACCCATATAAGTAACTTCCCAATTTGGACAGATTCATTCGCTCCGCTCTGCTCCGCTTCGTTCCAGCGTCTGTTTCTATATTGTATATGAGCCATACCATAACAAATCTCCACCTTCGCAAATATCCAGCCTCTTAGGAGAAAATATACCTAAGAGTTACACCTGCACCAATGTGGGTTGTGCCGCCATGCTTCTGCTGCGCCCACGCTGATCTTAACCCACTAAATTCTAAGAGACACACCTCTTCAATTTCAAGAGACATCTCTTCATTCTAAGAGACTTCAAATTCTGGTATTATGAATCATACCTAAGAATTCTCTACCTTGGCGAATATCCAGTCCTTTAGACTAAATTCCAAGAGACACTCCTCTTCAATTCCAAGAGACATCTCTTCATTTCAAGAGACTCCTAATTCTGGTATTATGAGTCGTACCTAACAAATCTCCACCTTGGCGAATATCTAACCCCTTTAGGAGAAATACATATACCCAACAAATCTTTCATCTTGCGAATATCTAGCCCCTTAGGAGAAATATATCATGAAGTTTCTTATGCACAAATATGGGTTAAAGTACTTTTCCTGTTCGCGCCAGCACCTCGGCTAAACTGCTGTCCCGTGAGCGAAACCCTTCGCGAAATACCTCCGCGCAACCACTGTTCGCGAATAATAGTCGTGCTCGCTCGCCAACACCCTACCGAACTCCACCTGTCGCAACTCCTCCTGCGACGAACTTGCAAACTCCGCTAGTCGAACACCACCAAACTCCTTTGTTCTCAAACGCTCCTGTTCGCGGCAACTGCACATGAACTCTTGTTCGCTAACTCCACTTCGCTTAATGCCGCGAAGATTCATGAACTGTTGCGCCTCGAAGTCGCGACGCCGCCTCTACCGTGAACTCCCTGAAGCATAACTCGCCGAACTGCCACAGTCCTTTATCCGAACTGCTTCGCACCTATTCGTTCCGGCGAGTCTGTCTTTATCCGAACAATCCGCAAAATTTTATATTATTCTGCGCCATAGCTAAGATTTCTTTTCTCCAACAAAGAAAATTCAGAAAATACTTTCAAATTTTCTTCTCCGCAAGATTTCTTGTTGAGCAAAAAATTATACTTTGATTCTGCCACAAATTTTTTTAAATAATCCTTTAATTAAGATTCCTTAATTAAGTTTCCCTTAATTAAGTTAAAAAAACGATTTTCCCTTAATTAAGTTTCCCAGAGAAGCAACAAAATTTTTCCAAAAAGAATTGAAATATTCCCTTAATTAAACATTTCATTTAATTAACTGAATTTCAAATCATTTCCTTTCTTGAGCTTCCAACAAAAGAAATCTCACCTCTGCAGATCCAGCAAAGAAAATCCACCGAAGGAAAATAACTTAATTAAGCTTTAATTGAGTCTCCAGTAAAGATTCTTCTTAATTAAGCCATCGTGACTCCAACAAAGATTCGTCGAAGGAATATTTCGCAGCTCCAGTAAAGAAAATAAAATCCCTTTCCAATTACTCCGCTCCGCTTTCCTTCCAGATTTCCTCCGAACTAACGTTTTCCACTTCCGCCAAGATTCAGCAAAGGAAATTCAGAAAGTCCTCCCAAATTTCCTTCTCTACAGCCTAGATTCCCTTCCTCCTCTCTCGTGTCCAGCAAAGGAATCAAATTGCCTCCCAACAAAGGAAATTTAGCGCAAGGAAATTTCGAGGGAATATTCCTGAAGATTCCATTCCAATTCCCATTCCTCCTCCTTCCTTCGCCTGTCCCTGGTCGGAATTCACCCTGCTGTTCCTGCGTTGAATCCCTGGTCGAGCGCAAATTGCCAAACTCCTTCTCGGCAAACTCCTCGCCTTGTTTGGTCGTCCCGCTCGCAAAGAATTCCATGTACGCGAATTCACACCTTCCTTGTTGAATCTGTATCGCGACTCCTGCTCGTTGAATGTCGCGAGTCCTTCGGCTTGGTCGCGATCCTCCCTGTTAAATTGCCGCAAAACTCGTCTGTTCACACCAAACTTTTGAGGATCTTCTTCCTGCGAACTTCGAACTGCGACGAATCGGACGCCCTATCTGCCGAACTCCTCGGTCAAAATCTTATTTGTTCCTGCGCCGCCAAAATTTTTCTTTCCTACCCTAAAACCTCACTCTGATACCATTTTTTAAGAAATTAGGGCGAAGAAATACAAGAACGACACAAATCCAGAAGAACACAAAGAGATTTAACGAGGTTCGACAAAGATGCCTACGTCCTCGGGAGCAGAGCGGTGACTCGGGAGCAGAACGGTGACTTCCTTTTCAATATTCAAAAAAAGAATACAAAATACAAGATTCAACTCTCTCAAAGATGTAGGATTACAAACATGTCTATTTATAATCGTAGAGTAAACCCTACAGTACAATATGTAATTCCAAAATTACGCATGTACCGTATAGCGGGGTGTTGACCCAGCACCCCCAATCGACATAACGTAACTTCCCGATTTGGACAGACTCTTCCGCTTCGCTCCGCTCCGCTCTGCTTCGTTCCAGCATCTGTCTCTATATGGTATATGAGTCATACCATAACAGAATTCATAAACATCAATTACTTTATAAGCATCACACCCTTTTTCATTAAATGCACATTATAAGTACTATTATGTTGCACTTCATAATTGGAAGGTAATTTTGCATTGGTTGAGCATTACAGATTTGAGGTTGCCATATTTAAGTGGCTTTTCAAATTATTTTTATGCCTTCATTAGAAAAGCCTACAAAATTTTTTCTTATAGATCTTAAGAAGCTCTCTATGCATTAGGGGTAAATTAATTGCCAATGCAAGCACACTAAATATACAAAGCCTTGAATCCAGAAATTTTTTATTGAAAACATAATGTCACCTCCCAAAAGAGCCCTTAAGAGAGGTGGGCAGCCCAGGACTTAAATACTGCTTTTCGTTCCTACACCTAGCCGATGTGGGACTATTTATCCGTGACATTCTTCTCCACCCAATCATGTGACGCCCTCGTCATGGATCGGCTCCTCCGAGGGTCCCACTGGATCATGGAGAGTCCACACACCTTACAGACAGTAATCTGCTCTGATATCACTTGTCAACTCCCAAAAGAGCTCTTAAGAGAGGTGGACAGCCCAAGACTTAAATACTGTTTTTCGGCCCTACACCTAGCCGATGTGAGACTATTTGTCCGTGACACTAAGATCTCAACCAGCAGACTTAGGTGGCTTACATTATTTAATGCTTTAAAGGCATTATTATTTAATGAGATTGACTGTATTCAAGTTTTGGATTGATATTTGGTAAAGTGGTGGCCTTATTCAATTTTCTTGACTTGTGTGCATGCACGCACAATTATTTTTTTTTGAGTTTAAATTTTATGTTTTGGTAACCTTTATATTATTCAGTTGTTCAGTTTCCTTACTATAATTTATTTAACGGCACTTAATATTCTCACTCAAGTGGAAATGATGGATTAGTTGAAGACTGCTTTTTTTCAAGTTTCCCAGAGTTCTTCAGAGAGATTTAACACCTTTGACCAGTTTAGTAGTGCATTGTAACTAAATAATGATATTTCTTTCATTCATTTGCTTTAGACGGGAATTCTCATGAAAGAAGTCTTTTATATTTCTTAAGTTTTGTAGTATCTACTGGAAATAGGAGCGCAGAAGCGTATGGTACACACAATTTTTGAGTTTTATTCACTGCTTCTTTTGGAGAACCACTTCTTATATGTTTTCTGGTACTGTATATTAATGTTCTTTTCATAATATAGCTTCTAGAGTGTCATTGAAACTTAGTTCAGAAAAGGTGTAATTGAATGCTACAGCTGTTCTATTCCTTAACTTTCCAAGTGATCAAATTAATTTCCAGTGTGATATTGAAAAGCCTTAAATATTGTACAGGTAACGTATCTAGAACCTGGCCAAACTTCTGAATTTGAAGGCAGAAATGGAGCAAAACTCAATATCCTTGCTACTGCAGGTCCTATATTAGGTCCACCTTGGCAGAGACCAGAAAATGGGTAAATTGATTGTTGCTTGAATATCTTCTTTATCTTTTGGGTGGTATAATTTTTTAAATCTTTGGCAGGGGCATTTATTTGAGCAACTAATTAACAAATTGAAGCTCTGTAAACCTTCTAGCAATTTGATATTATTAATTTATTTGATTTTTGGATGGTTCTAGTGATTTCACCTTAGGCACATTTGTATTTCTGTTCGTCCAAGCTAACTGATCAGACAATTTACTGCCAGGTACATTATCACATCAAGCAGTAATCTGAAACTCTACTATGAACCACACTGTGTATACAACAAGTTTTTTCTACAAGAATATAAGGTGGATATAATCATAACGCCAGTCATTAAACAGCTGCTTCCTTCATTCACCTTGGTATCCGGACAGGAGGATGCAGTTCAGCTTGCCAAGTTGCTACAAGCGAAGTATAAATTGTTGATTTATTGGTTATGCATAAGCATAACCAATCATATATAATCAATGTTTTTTTTTTCTAGGTACATTGTTCCTATGAAGAATGGTGATCTGAATAGTAAAGGGTTTCTCTCAAGAATCATTCGGCCGGAGGGGACGGTTAAATCGTTTAAGGTTTTTATTTACACCTTTTATCATAATATTCATTACTGGGTGCGTTTCAAGGATCATGCTGTGTTCTTAAGTTGAAAACTTCTTCCTTAATCAATGCAGTCTAGGGATAAAAATTAAAATTGAGGTGCACGGGAGAATTTTATTTTCGTCTATAATTGAAACATCATAAAACATGCAAAATCCTGAAGCAGTAAAAGGGTTAACAATATGTTTAAGAGTGGTGAACTCTGCTATCATATCTAGCTCATTTTCTACATACTCCATAAAATAGAGTCAGAGTGAAGCTGATTTGAATGTTTGTGTGTGATTTTACAATTCAGCTTTTAATGTGCTATTGCTTGAATTATGAACTCCAAAATATTTTTTGCAGGAATTACTGGAGAAGGAGCTTCCGGATGCACGAGTACTTGAGCCTCAGCCAGGGGTGGCTCTTGAGATTTCAAGGTCTTTGAGTTTTCTCTGAAGTTTGTTTTGTTCTCTTTAGGCAAGTTCCCTTTGTGTCATGAGAAAAATTGGAATGACAAGCCTTTTTATTCTGATGCATGACAACATGATTGCAAAGAGGCTATGAAGAAGGAAGAACTTTCATGGTATAAATTAAAATTCCTCTGCTGCCCTTCTTTTGCTATTTGAGCTAAAACTCATCTTTTTCTTTTTGTTTTGCCAATCATAGCTATAAAGATGATGAATAAAATTTATGCAAACACCAACTGGTAAATTTGCAGTAAAAGTTTTCAAACTCTGGCAAAGAAACATGCATGAAATGATATTGTCTTTGATATAAAACTCATCTGTGCCAAATACATGAGGATTTTCTAATGTGTAGAATAATTGAGTTGTGTCAATTACATGGCTGCCACAAGCCAAAAGATAAAATTCAATATTGAAACTTTGTAAGAAAGTTGCTCCCAAAACCGGAATCATGAATAGCTGTACATCCACATATTACCATGTTTATTTATTCTTGAAGACGAGCTTATAGTAATAAGAGATGTCCAGGTTGACAATAATGTACTTGAAGACGAGCTTAATAGTAATAAGAGATGTCCAGGTTGACAATAATGTAAGTTTAAAGTTTCTTCCTGCTCGGCAAAATTCAAAGGACAAATTTTTAATAGATTATGTTTAATACTGAATTAACGTAAGCTGTATTTTTTTTTTATAAACAGGCTAAGGTGTCACGTAGGCAAGATTTGGTGCCTAATGTGGCACAAAATTGTGCTCAAGTAGCATGATTTAAGCACCATATCAAGCCTAAGGGCACGATTTAATATATATATATTTTAAAATTGGGGCAATTACATAGAAACCAACCGGTCAATCACCCTCTTTGTTCATTTTTCAAATTCTGACTTGAATATTAATATTCATTGTAAAAGCTCAACTCATATTTTTCATTTTTATTAAATTCTCAATAACCGGTCAATCACCCTCTTTAGTTCATTTTTCAAATTCTGACTTAAATATTAATATTCATTGTAAAAGCTCAACTTATATTTTTCATTTTTATCAAATTCTCAATAGCTTGATCGCGGCACGTGTAAATTCAAAAAATTCACTTGAGTGGTTAATTTGTAAATATCAATATTCGGATGGTCTGTAAGTATCCCTAGAATTTATGCTCATTTTAAGAAGCATAAAATTTTAAAAAGTTGAATTTGGAGAAATCTAATTAAAACAATAAATAGTTTATTTAAAATTAATAAGTTCAAATTTCAATTAAAATAATAAAAAAACTTAGTTTCGAATAATATATACATTAATATCGTGAGCACAAATCTCAAACCAATCAAATGACTAAAGATGATGGCTCAAAGCTTGAGTAGTTAAATTCAAGAGGGATGATTTGGACTAGTCATCTGGAAGATCAACAAACTGATCAAGTCCACCCTTGGTGAATCTGATGGACAGAACTCAAAGCTTGAGTAGTTAAATTCAAGAGGGATGTGATCAAGTCCACCCTTGGTGAATCTGATGGACAGACGTATCTACGGTCCCAAACGTAGAAGTTCTTAAAATGCCGCCCAAGCGCAATCGACCGACCGACAACTCCTACCTCCGCAGAAATGCTCTTTGTGAGGCCCGTCGCTTTGGTCGACCAAACCAAAAAACGTCAATTGGTTGTTTGCCTTCTTGCCCAGATTCAAATTGTAACTCAAATTTAGTATTAAATCAACGACTGATAATTCACTAGCATCTTTTTCTTTATCTCTACTCCTCCAACTCTTAACTGTCAAGGCTTTTTTTTTTTTCCAAGAGAATTCTAAATTCAACATCCTGAAAGGTGGTGCGGTGAGCGTGGACATGTCACAAACAAGAAGTAGAGCCAACTACAAAAGAGAATTCTATCAGAGAGAATAGTGCTGCCCTTGGAGTTCAACAGAGAGACGATACATCGAGACATACATGAAGAGGTCCAGGCATTACGGGTGTAAATAATGGATCAATTCGAAGCTCTTCGAGTGGTGGTTGTCCAACATAATGCCCAACCGCCACTTACTCGCCCTCAGAAAGCTCCTCTAGACAATTAGCCAGCGCCCCACAGTTGGCCCGGTGATCGGCCAGGCCCGGTGATCGGCCAACTGAGGGACCAAGAGATTCCTTACCGGCAGATTGCAACATCTATGCCGATAGTCCAACATCGAGTAGACCGAATGGGAATGTTTGCTCAAGTGGCTATGGGTAGCGCTTTCTTTTGAAGAACCCTAGGAGCCTTACCCCCGACGAAGCTCATGATTCCTCACTTCAATCCTTATAAAGAGAAGAGTGATAAGGCTGATCACCTAGCTTCTTTCGAGAACGGTCGAAATCCTATAGATCGATGACTCCATGAAGTACTTGTTGTTTCTGACCACGTTGAATGAAGCCACACTCTGATGGTTTAAAAACCTTTCGAATGAGATCATCCCATCCTTCGATTTCCAGAAGCACCTCCTAATGAACTTTGTTAATCTGCAAAAATCGAGGAAACATACAAAACCTCTGCTTTAGATCAGGTAGGGGGAGAATGAAAGCTTAAGAGGTAAAGAACCTAGAGCCCCTCATCACCTGGAGCGTTCTGAAGTTGGGGATCCACAATAAGCGATTCAGGTATGACCTGAACTTACTGAGGCCAAAGACCTTCTCGAAGGTCTTGGAATTAGCAAATGACCACATTGCTGCCGAAGAAGACTTCATAGAGTCCTCGGAAACCAAACTGAGAGCATTTAACCATCGGTCGTAGAAGCAGAAGGATCGGGATGACGACAAAAGGCCAAAGGGCTATCATGCTTCTGGAGGCTGACAAACTGACAATCCTCGATCTCGGGATGGCCGAGGGGGTGACCAGAGCAGCAAGGGGTCAACGATAACGACTTGACTAGCTTGAGAAATGCAAGGCTTGACACCCCTAAACGTATCAATGGTTGAGCTAGTCCAGGCCATTCAAAACAAGGACTATTTTAAGAAAGCCCCTCCACTGAAGGCAACACCAACATTATGCAATCCAAACAAATATTGCCACCCACCCATCATTGAGACCACAGACACAATATAGATGAATGTCATCAATTCTGAAATTTGGTGGAGAAGCTCATCAGGGCTGGAAAGTTGATGGGGAAGGACGTTGGAGCACACACAGTGACAGGGGAAGGCCCTAGCAGAGGAACTCGCAAATAGACCAATGTAGATGAATGAAATCCACCTGGTTGGAATCATCCTGGCTATATTCAGTTGGGGGGGGGGGGGGGGGGGGGGGGGAGGGACGATTACCCCAACTATCCAACCTGAAAAGGCACAGATCGAATGCAGATCTCCCCCCAAAGGGAAACCTGTACAACGAGGTGATCCTCTTCATGATGCTCATAGACAACTACCAGGTGAGTAGGATCCCGCTCGACACCGGAAGCTTAGTAAATATCTTGTTCAAATCAGTTTTCGATAAAATGGAACTCAAGGCCGACCGATTGCTGACTCCAGATGACCCGTTATTCGGGTTTTTTTGGGTAAATGGAAGAATGATCTGGGGGTGATCGCCCTAGCCGTCTTGTGGGAAGAGTGATAAAAACAGTTATAGTTCACCAATATGAAGAATTTTCTGGTGGTGAAATTCCCTCTGACTTACAACGCCATCTTCGATCGACCATTGCTAAATAGCTTCCTGACAGTAGCTTCGACATATCATGTGGCTGTAAAATTACCTTAGGGCGGGGAAATAATTATGATCCGAGGATATCTGGAACAATCCAGTAGCTATTACATGTGGACACTCACCAACATCAAACGCGAACCGCTAGACATTCAAATAAAGAGGGAAGGAGGTCTCAAGATCAGTGAGACCATCCTTTGCGTGCCTCCCGCTGAAGAGGGAGAATCTGGTAAGGTTTTTCTAATTAGCAAAAGTTTTGATGCAGATCACAGGAACCTACTTATTGAGTCCCTTCACCAATGTCGGGACGTGTTCGCCTAGGTAGATGTGGAGATGCTCAGAGTCCCTATCGACGTCACCTGCCATCAGCTCAACATTAACCTGTTTTCTCTGCCAGTGAAACAAAGCTTCGATCGACCTCAAGGGTCCTAGCCAAGCCAATAGAGGCGGAAGTCAATTGAAGAAGGCATGCTACATTCGGGAAGTCCAATATTTGACTTGGCTCTCGAATGTAGTAGTGGTTCGAAAACCCAGCGGTAAGTGGAGGATGTGCATCGACTTCACCAATCTGAATGTCATTTGTCCAAAGAACACCTACCCGTTTCCTAGAATTGACACATTGGTGGACTCCGCAGTCGGATACTCCGTAATGAGTTTCCTCGATGCTTTATCTGGCTACCACCAAATAAGAATGCATCTGGCCGACACAGGGAAGACATCTTTCATTATCGTGCAAGGAATTTTTTGTTATAATGTAATGCCCTTCGAGCTGAAGAAGGCTGGTTCGACCTATCAACATCTTATGGATGTAATATTTTCAAATCAAAAGGGAAAAACATTGACAATCTATATGGATGTTGTTCTTGGGAAAAGCAAGTTAGCTGGGCAACACATAGAAGACCTAAAGGAAGCCTTCGAAACTCTTAAAAAATTTGAACTGAGACTAAATCCTTTGAAATGCATTTTTGGAGCGTCGACCGACAACTTGGGATTCTTGTTGACTCCCAAAGGAGTGAGACCCAATCTGGAAAAATTACAAGCAATCCTTGATGTGCCACACTCTCGAAGCACTAAAGAAATACAAAGACTGACATGTCAAATTGTAGGACTCAGTTGTTTTATCCCGAAATTAGGTCACAAATGTGCAGCGTTCTTCAGGGCACTTAGGAAAAACCAGTGCTTTGACTTGACTTCTGAAAGCGAGGAAGCATAATATGAAGGATTCCTTAGCATCACCCCCTCTACTCCAAATCCCGAAACTGGCGGAGGAACTATAAAAAATGTGAAAATTTCAGGGTTCAGGCTAAGCCTAAGGGTCTGTTTAGGGTAGCTGCAACTTATTGAATAATCTGCTGATTAGCTGCTTAAAAATAATCTGCTAATAAACTAAGTGCGGTAGCTGCTTAAAAATAATCTGCTAATAAACTAAGTGCGGTGACTATACAAATTTTATTTTTTTTGGAAAAGTCAGACCACAGCCAAAAAGCTGCCACCCCCCCCCGATAGGGGCGGGGGGGAAAAATTAATTTTTTTGTTGCATAAGCTGCCAAAACGCAGTTTACCCAAACAAATCATGTGTGTTTTCAAAACGCCACCGCACCAAATAAACTGCCCCAAATAGACCCGGTAGGTAAGACCTAGAGGGTAGCTCTAATATGGTTTAGACATAAGAATTAAGTTAGGTCTAATTCAATTGAATCACCGGGTCAAACCGACCTAACTAGGGTTAACCAAGTTCAATTGAATCACCGGGTCAAACCGACCTAACTCGAATTAACCCAATTCAACTGAATCACTGGGTCAACTCGACCTAACTCGGGTTAACCCAATTCAACTAAATCACCAGGTCAACCTGACCTAGATCTTACTCGGGTTAACCCAATTCAATTGAATCACCTCATCAACCCGACCTAACTCGAGTTAACCTAACCTAACCTAACCTAATTTGATAAAAATTTTACAAAAAAATTATTTTCGCAAGCATAAAACTCATAATAAATTTTTTAAACCAATAATTGGGAAAAAACTATAGAGTAGAAAAGTCACAGTTTATAAATTTATCAACCTATCAAATGACAACATTTCTATATAAGAATTTATGGAAATTACCAATTATGTTTATATTAAAAGAAATTACAAATTTTTAAGGATTGGTTTGTTGATTGAAGGAACAAAGCCGTAGTTTTCTTTTTTTCTTTTTGTTTTTTTTGGAAAACATGCAAACACACAAGATCATATAAAACAAATTAGCCAAAATTTCTACTTGAAAAACATTTCTTCTCACTTAAGAGGAGCAGTTTTACTTGAAAACGTGCTCTGTTTTATTAATTTTTTTTATTAATTTATTTTCTTACAATAAATTATGAAAGCTTTGATGATAAAAATGCTTGTACATTTTTAATTTAAGAAATTAAAATTTTAGTTATTATAACAATGATTGTAACTGTGTGCACGTGCCAACATAATTTTGGGCATGTGCCTAAGCATGTGTATGTTTGTGTTTAAATGCACATGTGCCTATGTACGGGCGTATGCATGCATGTTAGTAGGGCTGTCAAAACGGCTCACTGTTCGCGAACAACTCGTATTCAGCTCGTTAAGAAGCTCATATTCGGCTCGTTCGCTAAGTTAACGAGCCGAACATGAACAAAGATTTGTTTGTTCGTGTCCGACTCGTTTTGGCTCGAAATACTATTCATCAATTATATATATATCTTTGATGAGTAGTCTTTTTTATATAATCAGTTAAAAGTATTAATTAAGAAAATATAATAAAAATTATTAAATTAGATTCAAATGTTGTTTTAATATAAATAATAACTTTTAAATCTTGTCTTAACCGTTAACATCTTTTGACTTTGTTCGTGAACAGCTCGTGTTCGGCTCGCTAAGTAAATGAGCCAAACACGAACACACTTTTTGAGCTCGAAATATAAACGAGCCGAACATGAGTTGAGTCTGGGCTCGCTCGTGTTCTGCACGTTTACACCCCTACATGTTAGTTCGGGGTTGTGCTGACCCTTGCACACACATATTTGAGACTACGCATGTGTATCGTGTGAGATGAGTGAATGAAAATAAGAGGAAAAGTATGTTCAAATGTTGATTGTTTTTCATGTTTATTTTACTAATTAAGTTGTTTTTTTATAGAAAATTTCACAGGAAGAAAATTGAAATGACCAAAGAGAAATTTTAAAGATAGCACCGCATTGATATTTGCACAATGCCACACCAAAGTGCATGCTAGGGCCAAGAAACCCTAGAACACAGTGCTATGAATTTGTGTTTCGGCATTGTTGCACTAGAAGATGAACACCACAATACTAGTTCAATAATGGTGCAATGCTAGAAAACTGTAAAGACAAATAACAAATTGATAACTTGATGCTACAAGTTAGGCTTTTAGCGCCATGCACGATGCTAGGAGAAAAGTGTTGTACTGCTGAAGGTGAAGCATCACAATGCAATTAGAAGGAGCATAGTTTGTTTTAAACATCAGAGTTCATATCACCATAAAAACTACAATTGAGTGTATTAGCTTACCATGATGTTGCCACAAAGACAGTGTTTAGCAACATAATGCAATGACCCTGATAATTCAAGTTATAAGCGATTTTGAAGCAGCCCCGGGAGCGGCTTGGCAATTTTTAATAAGAAGTTATAGAGAGACTAGTAGAGTGTAGAGAGTGTGTAAAGTATTTGTGAGTAGAATAAGAAGTTATATTCGTGATTATGAGAAATTTTCACAAAAAAAATGAAGGCAATTGCATAAAAAATAAATTTATATCTCTATTTCTTAGTTTATTTTTCATGATTGATTATTGTATTTTCTCTATTTTATCAAATATTTGTTAAAAACTAATTTGTTTTCTATGGATTTATGTTGATTTTAAAGTGCCTTTGAATTTGATGTAATTGATTATTTGTATTAAAAATTTATGTAGTTTTGTTTTACTCTCCTCTTAATTTATTTGTATTTTTGGCCATGCACATCTTAACATATAGTTTTATCTCGAGACATTGAAAGAGTCTTAATGCACTAAATTGGGTTGATAACATATAATAAGAAGTGAATTGCAACCATGTAAGAAATATGTTTAATGCAATCTCTTGCATTAATTAGGATAGGAATATGCCTGGTTAAAGTAAGAGATTAGGCTTCCTATTCATTGACAGAGATTAACAATATTCATGTTCTTAATTGACAACATAAATTAAGGGTAAATCATTCACATAAAATCAGAGTTCTACTTTTGGTAGAACATAGATTTAGAAAAAGTCCTCTCATTAGAAAAAAAGTACAAAAATATCAATGTAATGTAGATTTTATTTTGGGATTTTATTATAAAATTGTTCAAAGTGTTGGATTGAAAAAAATAAGATTAGATGAATTGGTAGATAATTTAGCATAATCTATCTTTTAGTCCTCATGAGAATAATATTTAGCTAAAGAAGTGCTAATCATGCTTGATATTTAACACCAATGATAACTGACAATCACTATCATCATTTAACTATCCTTGTTCGATTGTCATCATTTAATCACTGCCATTTGACCATCATTTTCTATATAATGTTATTAGATCTTCATTATCCAACTGCTGTAGTCCACCTACAACTTGCTTGACTATTATTGTCTAACCATCATCACCCGACTACTACAGTTAGACCATTATTTTTTCTTTCAACTACATTAAGCCCTATTATATTTATAAGAGATCAAAATTGAGTATATTACTAGGTAATAATGTATTCTCTAACAAGAACAAAACTTTATAATTTTACTTGAATAATTAATCATTTCATATTGGCCAGGTCTCAAGGTGCTTTCTTTTACTTGAGTTTTTACATAAAAATTCCATTGCCTCCTCTAGTCTTATTTTCTAAAATCAAATATAAACTTCTTAATGAAGTGACATGAATTATTAAGCACATTTTAAATCTTAATTCACCCATATTAAATTTAAGAACATATTTAAATTATAATGATCATAATTTAAACATGAAAATAATGTTAATATAAGTAAATAGTGCTCCACAATAATCCAATCCGTAGCGATTGAAAAAACTTGATGCATTCAAGTTTATTCGACATCTTATTTAGGTGAAATGGTTCTTCTCTAACCATAGAAGTAGCAATTGAAAAAACTTGATGCATTCAAGTTTATTCAACATCAATGAAGAGCTTCTTCCTTTAGCTTATTTAGGTGAAATGGTTCTTCTCTAACCATAGAGTGAATTCAAATCAATTGAATGGAGAATGAGGTAAGCCAGTGAATATATGTTCAAGATACCAATGTACACAACTTGCTTGATCTAAATCATCCATGAAGATCTCTACCCATCCAATGCAACTTTGAACTCTCCAAACAATGGTTAATAAATGTTCTTTTATTGGGAAAATTATTCCATTGCATGCGGTGTCCGATCTACACCGTCGATTACCGATCTCCACCGTTCGATCAAAAAAAAATTTTTTTTTTTAAAATTGGGCCCACCGAAATTATCTTTACGGTGCATCTCTGCATGCAGTGTCTGTTTGAAATAATTTTTTCTTTTATTGTGATCCATGTTATAGCCACCATGTGACCTCAAATTTAGCCAACTTGATAGCTCAATTAAAACTCTTAATAAAATGAACCCTAAAACATAAAATTTTTTCTTAGGTTTAATTTAAATTTGTTTAGGATAAATTATAAAATTACAAGATTAATTTTGAGATGAATTCAATATATAACAAACAAATAAAAACTCATGCTGCACTCAAGCAAAAACAATTACTTAAAACTAAAAAATAAAATTGCCAATTAAGCCTTGCTATTAAATCCTTTAAAATTAAGATTAGTGCACTAATTATGATACAAATTCAACAAATCTAATTTAAAAAATTTAAGATTAATCCAAATATTAATATATGAATCAAGAATTAAGCTGAAATTAATTAAAAAAAAAGCATTAATAATAACCTGTTAATACAATTCTCAGAACTCCCCATTTCTAATTAATCATCTGCAATATTTTCTCCTCATATTTGCTTCTCTCCAGTCCGCCCATCTTGCTTGGCTCAACCCTTACGTCCATAGACAAGAAGGGCGAACCCTCCTCCGGCGAAGCTCAGCCGCTATTCCCTCCCCGCAGCACTCCAATTCCTCCACCGACGATCCCGACAGCGACCCGCTACTACTATCGCTCCAATCACCCTTACAAAAACAACCCCGCCCTTCAAAAATTGCCCGCTCCTCCCATCCCTCTCCCCTCTCGAATCGCAAAACGAACACAGCCTCCCCTGCCTCTCCGATCGCCGACGGCGCTCTCCCCCCCCGGCGGAAA